TCAGGTAAAGCTCGTAAATAAGTTATATCGTATATCATTACTTACCTTACGCGTTTCATAAAATGGTAATTAAGAAGATATATACTAAACTTTTAACTTATAATAAAAACCTGACTGAGTATTGAGTAGTTGAATATTGAGCATTGAGTGAATTGAAGTTTTTATATCCTGTGAACCCTAAAGTCAGGTTTTCCGTTTGACAGGGAATAGAAGACATTTATATGCTTGTTATGTATACTAAACTTATTAAAAGTTTAACGACTATAGTCAGGGGAAATCCTGAATGGATAAAATGTAAAATGATCCTGTGAACCAAAGGACTCCCGATACCACATAAGCAATTGTATTGCTGTCTTACATCGGGGCAACCGTGTAATCTTAGGTATAGTTTAAAAGATTTAAGATTTTTATTTATTACTAGAAGACCTGGCAAACTTCGTATCGCCCTATAATCAAGAAATATCTATGTATTACGTTTTTTTATTTATATTTTTGGAGTTTACCTGTAAGCCATAAATCTCCGTGTTTTGAAGTGCGACAGAATGATTGACATATTAGTTAGTTGTCAAATCTAATGTCAAAAAAAACGTTTGTATGGGAAATAGAAAAGGGCTGTTTTTATGGTTTTCCCAGTAATGAACCAATTTTTTTCAGCTTTTATACCTTCCCTGAACCTCCACGAACATTTCAAGACTAAGATAAGATAAATCCGTTCAGCTGTTCTCGAGCTTTAGCGAGACTAAGGAACAGCAATCCATTTTTATATATATAGAAGATTATATATCTAACAATTTATTGGTTTTGTTGGCTGACTATGCCTTGTACCCAGTGGCGTGCAGAGAGATTTTGGGTAGGATAAGCAGAATATTTTTGAAAAATAAAATACCAATTTTCATCATTCCCACCTATAAAACAAGTTAATGATTTCTTACGCAAATATTGTCCTAAATTCTATATGAAACTATAATAACAGTGGCGGCTGTAACTTAAATGCACTCGTGCGCTGAACCACCAATTCAAAAGATTTAAAAATTACAAAATATTAATTCATCTTTATTTTTAAATTACCATTTTAATATTTATTTTTTAAACATATAAAAACGTATAAAAAATTAAATTTACTAATTATGGTCAAAAAGTTTGAGCGCTTTACTTAAACTCATATCGTGCGCTTCGGCGACTGGCAAGTGCAGGAGGACTGCTAACACATCTTGTATGAGATACGCATTAATACGCCTGACGCGTGAAACAAAACATAGTTCATAGAAATGTACCGAGTAATGAGTCGGTTCTCGAGCGCCGCACGCGCGAACCGAAAATTACCGAGAGCACCCGATGTATGACGAATTGAGCCCGACAACCGTGGCATGGGCGCCAGGCGACGACAGCCATGATTGACATCTCGTTATGTTTTGTTGCATTTTCTAATTTTAATATTTTAGTTCACAACCAGTTCGATTACCCACCAGCCGCCAATGGAAACTAATATTTTGTTATTTTTAACGGGCAGATGAGATGTTTGCCGTGATCACTGTTGCTGCAAAGTAATCGAATCGTCGGGAGTATGTAGTTTTTAAACATAATAATAAAATACGAGAATATTCGCGCATAATGTTACAGCAGTCCGATCAGAACGAACAATTATAATATACTTTATGAATCTTTTAACTACCTCTGAAAGTACGTACCACGAAATTACCTTGAAACGATAAACGATCTTTTCATCACAGCTTTATAAAAGTTATTTTAATAGAAATATATAATAGTGGAGATTGAAACATTCTTATTATTATCATTTGAAAACAACAAACAAGGCAAAATAACTTATTTGTGTCTACACAACCTGCTAACTAATTAAAACTATCTTAATTATTAATACTTTTTATTAAAAAAATAGCATTACCTTTCTTTTAGTTCAAACTCAACTGGACACACACTTTGTTTTTCTTCTTCTTCTAAGTCGATACGTCCTTGGCAGAACGGTCGTGGTCATCATGATTGCGGTGGCACGCTTCACAACGCGTCGCCACTCGTCTCTGATGGTGGCTTTTCTGGAGCACTCATGGACAGGAGCGTCCACTGCAGCCCTGACTTGGTCTGTCCAGCGCATGGGTGACCTGCCACGCGGTTTTATACCCTCGACTTTGCCCTGCACTACAAGCCTCTCTATTGAGGTCACTCCACGCGGCGATACATGTCTTTGACTTATTTTAATTTTAACTTTGATTTTACACTTATTTTAATTTAATAATCAAACGAAATTAACTAGTCACTAATTTCAATAAACACACATCACAAGCACAGATCTCACAGGTATAATTTTCCATAATTCGTTAATAAATTAATCCACTGTTTACTAATTAAAACTTATTCACTTGCGCTTAGAAAAACAAATGACAATATTCAATAATAGTAAAATGGCGGAAAAAAATATATGAACAGTGTACCGACCAATCAGAGAGTCCCTTTTTGTTTGTCAATTAACGGACTTTCTATGATATTTTAAACAATACAAAATAATTAATCAGTTCTTCTCGGACACTACGCATGTGTAGCTTTACACACACAACATACAAATTACAAACATTTCCTTCATACGTACACGAGATTTGTAGATCCTTGCGAATTTTTGAATGGAAAATAAGCAGAAAGTGGTTGTGCATACCGCCGCACTGGCTGCACAGTGGCGCTAGCAGTTAGCAGCGGCCGATCGAAAATGTTTCGTATTCACATAGACAGATCGCACTTATTAGCAAATCGTGAATAAAATGTCATATTAAATGACTTTAAACATTTGTATTTCGTAATGTATGGTTAAAAGTTTGTAAGTAAGAATTAAACAATATAGGTTTAGTCGTTATATGGTTAGGGTATGCAGTGCTTATTTAGGGAGAGGGCGGCTGATGCTCCCTCCCCCCGCAGGCGACGTACGGGGGTGCGACGGAGGCAATTCCTACGCCTCCAATAGCACCCCTGTGTTCCGGGCTGGGGTCGGCGTGGTAACCCGGCCCTTTTGAAAGCCCGGCGTCGTCGGGGTGGTCCTAATTGCCGGGATCGCCCCCATGCTCCGAGGGAGTAAGTCCGGTCTTTGCCAGGACCGGCCAGTCGCTGGTGTGCCCTGTCGCTGACAGATCCGGGGTACACCGACATAGCGGCCGATGGCTTTCGCAGTGGTTTTAGTGAGTAGAGGCCTGCCCAGGCCGAGCCTCACACATCCCTTCCGGCCCCACCAAGGCCGGTTGGACGGCTCGTAAAATGAGTTTCCACTACGTCATCAAAAAAAAAAAAAAAAAAAAAATGCAGTGCTTATTTGCATCTATGGTGTTCACGCCACTGCTATCAAAACGATCTCCTAAAGTGACATATAAAAACATTTTTTTTTACTTTATCGTCACCGGGTTTTAATTCAATTCTTACATTTCAAGTTACGTTGATAAACGTACCTTCTTTTGGCTCAAACAGGCAAAGAAAATGAAATTCATATAATACAGTATAAAGTTATAGCATTTTCTATCGACAAGGGACTCGTTAAACAGATGGTAGCATAAAACTTATCTTACTAGGTTTCGCTTCCGTGTTTGCTCGCCTTAAAAACAATCAGATAGTGGATCATATTAAAAATAGCCTTTCAACATATTTTAAATTAAAAATACACACATTCCTTAATTATAATTAATAATTATTAATATCTTTAAATATTTCAATAGGTATAAAAATAACATGTAAATGAGATATTTGTATGCATTAAATGAAATTGGATATAAAGTAAAGGCGGTAAAAAACTGTTACAGTCCGTATTTTTCATTCTGATTTGAAAGACTGTGGTAGAGATAGACTGATTGCAATCACTACGTCCTAGATCAAAGGAAGAATATTTTCCCTTTATAAATTGAGTTCCAAAATGACAATTTACTTGGAATGTAAGCATTGCTTTGTTATAGATATGTTCTTGATCCAATACTATAAAATATTGTGAATATTCTAATTAAAATAGAATTCGGTTACAGTTAAAAAATGTAAAATATATATATATATTTTTTTTAAATATTATCCTTATTTATGTAAGGGAAACATTAAGTTCATTCCTATGAAACGTAGTTCATAATCTTTACTATTTATAAGCTTTTCTGTTAATAAAATCACGATTGTCATTGTTAAATATTCAAATTTCTTTTTTGAGACCAATGATAAGTAAATTTTATACATAGTTCTCTTATCTTAAATAAGTAAGACATGAAAGTCTTGGTTCTGTCCGTGATCATGGTTAGTACGGAGTAATGGAATCGTCATTTAAAATGTATAATAATAATGCGGAGTAAATATGACAAATAGGACTTAGCGTTAATTAAATATGTACTTACAAAAGAAATATAGTCAACTTATTAGAAAATATAACAAATAGTTTTTCTTGAGTTTATATCGGTTTAATTACTGTTTAAATATGTAAAACATTAATACTACTTTTATTAAATTTAGAAATCAATAGTATTAGAAATCGATGAAAGTAACAATACAAAAATCATGTTGATACATACTCATATCATTAAATATAATTTTACAAACTATACACTTATATGCCATTTATATTTAATAGAAAGACACTTATCAATATATATTTATTTTTCTGTATAAATTATTTAATAGAAAAAAAACTAACTTTATAATGTCTCAGATTTTTTGATGTAGCAACATTGATCTAATATAGACTATAACAGTCAGATTTTGACTTATCAACTAATGTCAAACTACGGCATAGCGTGAATCGTGTTCTAATAATTTATCAAAGAAACATCGAGAAAAATATTTTTAACTCAGAAAAACATTTGTATATAAAAGATAATAATAATTAAGAGGAAAAATATTAATAATGAAACATGGTGAATGTTATGAAAGGTGTTCTTGTGGAATGGTTGGTACATATATTAAGCATTCTAACGGAATTAAAGAAAACACTAGAATCTTTTTTATTTAAATTTACAATTTAAGTATGTAATGAGTAATTATTCTTCCATATAATCCATATCTGGAGGGATATTGAAGTTTTGTTCGATAGCTTCGTTGTCCATTTGAAAAGTATTCTTCATGTATGACTTGAGAATGTAAATATTTTCTGTCCATCTGTTTATTGCGTGTTTAAGATCCTGGAAATGATTTCAAACATAAATATTAAATTTAAAGTTCATTTTAATATGTCTACAGATTAATAAAACTTAAGATTTCGAATGATAGTAAACATTTATCATTTTTTTAACTACTTATCCCGATGTTTCGGTTTGGTTGCAGCTATTGTGATCTCGGGCAGACGAGATGATAAATATTAGATAGCTTAGTTCATCTCTAGATAAAAGTTAGTTATTATATCTATAGATGAAGTAAACTGTATTTCTTACTTCAATTTCATTCTTTATTTTTTCTATATACTCTGGATCAGAATCTCTGTATTTCTGTAATTCCTTAATGATTTCCTTTTCCTCTTTAGTTAGTTGATCTAATGCTGCCAACAATTGTGTCCTTTCATCACTCGGTTCTCGTCCGACCTTAAATATTAGTTAATATTAAGATTAAAACTATATTTAAAAGTAGGTTTTATCATATGAAAATATATTTTTATGTATACATACAGACTCCAATGTAATCGAATCAGTGGTTTTCTTCAACTTTTTAACAGTTTCATCCAAATCATTTTGTAAATCTATAAGTTTCCTTTTCTTAGCATTTTTTTCTTTGCTGTTTAATAAAATAAATATAAATATTTTTCTTTCAAACCACATATTCTAAAATTTTGTTATAATGATATAAACCTTGGAAAAGACCAAAAATATATTGATGTTCCAATCTTTTCTGAATCGACGAGATGATCATCCACAAGGCTTTGCACCACTTCCTTAACTGACTGCATTGTAATGCCTTTTTCTTTTGGAGCTATTTTCTCTAACTCCTATTGATATTTGTTATATTATATTATGTATAGTATTACAATGAAGTATTTAGCTTTTTTTATATACAAACTGGTAAAATCATTTAATATATTACAATAATAAAATACATATTTTTTGTTTATATTAAAACTGACCTTAAGTTGGTAAAAATCTTTACTCTGATGGAATATTTCCAACATTCTAGTTCTTTTTTCATCAGCACTCAATCCCCTTTTCTTGGACATTTTCCAGTGACCCGGCAATGAAGCAGTTCTTACTCCACTTAGATGAAACACTGGCCCTCGGTAGAAAATTTATTCTTCAGGATCTGGATGAAACCCATGTGTTTATTTCATCGGATATAGTTGAAACATTACAAGCTCGTGTTGATGATTTGATGGACCAATTCAGTTTCCCGGTACACGATAAAGGTTTGTAATTATGGCGTCAAGAGAATCTGGTAGAGTAAAGGATGCTGAAAAGCGAAGGGTTTTGGACGATGCAGCAAGGAAACGAAGAGCTAGGAAAGCCATCGAGGCTCTCGAACTGGACAATTTCCACGAAGACCCCCACGCAGATCTGGTTATGTCAAAGAAAGTGCCTAAGTTTGCGGATTCGAATGAGAAACCCACTCGGAAAAAAAAAGCCAAAAGCGCTGAGTATTACAAAATGAGATTCAGGAAAACATTTGCTCAATTAGTGGAGGAGGATGCCAGTTTTAGACCAGAACCTCCTAATTATCTGTCAGCACAAGTACCACCTTCCAAGTAAGATATATTTCTATATGATCGTAATATTTATAGCTCATTGATGTACAATTTAATATAAAAATTTCGTGTCACGTGTTTGTCCGCGATAGACTCCTAAACTACTAAACCGATTTTAAATTTGATTTGCATTCCGTGTGCATTTTGATCCAACTTGAAAGATAGGATAGCTTACATCTCAATTTATAGTCACAATATTATTTTACTGCAAATTATTTGTCTATTAAAGAAAATAATTTGTCATTATTACAATTATCTGTTGACTGAGTTAAGTACTTTACAAATACAAACGTCATACATATATGAGCGACTATTTTAGACACGTGTTTCTGAGCTAAAGGTGTAACCTAAATTTATTTATTAAAAAAACGTAACAGATATTTCTTGATTATAGGGCGATACGAAGTTCACCGGGTCTTCTAGTATACAGGCAGTCCTCGTACTTACGGCATGTTAGGTTCTTGAAATACGCGACGTAAATCGAAACGACGTAAGTCGAGACATATTTTTTCATATGTTTACATGTAAAACTCAAGGGTTAGGTTCCACACGGACTCGAAATAATAAAAAAACTGCATTTATAACAAAGGACGTACTTTATTATTAAAAGTAAGTTCTTAAAATAATTATATATTATGCACTTATGAAATTGCTAGTTATTTTTGGTATTTGTGTGTTATTAATTTTAATAATAATTATAAAAACTTATACATATGTAATGATAAATAATAAATTAAACTTTTGGCTTAAAGAAACTATCAATTCTAGATTGCTTGGCTTCTTTCTTCTTGCTATCATACAAATCTTGGTAACAGTGATAGGCTGCACAAATTTTGTTATTAACGTTAAAACTTCTCTCAAAATTAGGATCATTTTCTTCAAAAATTTTCATGGCATTCTTCAAATTTGCAAAGGCTACGGAAAGTTTTTTTAGTGTAAGTTCTTTTTCAGAGTCACTAATAGAAGAAGCTATTTCTTGTGACTCGAGTGCTTCCTTTTGTACTTGTGCTTCCAATTCAATAAGATCTTCATCAGTCAGTTCTTGCGAATGTGATCTTAACAGATCATCAATATCATCAGTAGTAACTGCAATGTCAGGCAAACGGTTAGCGCCCCTCACGGACATTGACCTTGCGACAAGTGAATTCTCCGATATGCCGGAAATCGAAACAAATGACGTATGCTTGAGGAATAGTGTCAAAACATTGTTCGACGTAACTTGAAACGACGTAAATCGAAACGACGTAAGTCGAGGACCGCCTGTACTATATGTCGAAGTAGAATCACTTTGTCGTTTTCAATAGAGTGCCTAAGCATAACTGACATCATCAAAGACTCCATTCTTGACTATCGTCAGAACCTCATTTTTATTTCATTTTCCACATAATAATGTTTAGTATGTATTAATAACGTCTACCATATTTGTTTCAAGGTTTCCTGACCGTCATTTCTGTGCTGTTTGTGGGTTTCCCTCAAACTATACGTGCATTCCTTGCGGCGCTAGATACTGCTGCGTTCGATGCCTCGGAACGCACTTGGATACACGATGCCTCAAATGGACTGCCTAGCTTTTTACAATAGATAATAATAGCTCTTGATATAAATAAAGAATAATTTGTTATAATAATGAAGATTTTGGACCTTTTATTTTCTATTTGCTTATATACTTCGTTTTATACCATTTTGTTATGTATAACAAGATAGCAGCAGATTTGGAACGCTATTGTTGTTAATTGTTTCTTTGGATATAATAACAAGAATCACTGACCTTAGTTAACCCATAATTGTCATATTTGCCGATGTTAAGTGCACAGAAATATCATGAACTGTACTGTATCTGTATGTAGAATATTAATTAATATTTGCTCAATTTCAGAACTTCTGTTTACACTTTTTGTTACTAATAAAGAAAAAACAACTCGATGAATGAAAAAAAAAATGTAAAACTTCGTGAAAAACAAACTGCTAAGTAAAAGTTCATATTTTTGTTTATAACGCCATCTAACAAAAGTAACATATAAATAGGTGTTAAAAGAAAGTATGGCCATCTAGTGATGAGAAGTTTTCTAGAGACAAAACAGTTCCACTACTTGTCATCAGATGTCATTTTACAATAAACTATGAATTATACGAATACAGGATAGTAGTAATAGTCACACAACTTATTGGAGATGCTATTACGCCTGTCGATTTTCTATCAAGAAAATCTATTTCAATCGTTTAAAACTACTTTTTTTTTCGAACAAAAAATTTTAAATTTACTAATTATTATCGATATCAATAAAAAATTAATCGTTAATTATTTTTATCTACCTTAATTAATTAAAATTTTATTAAATATTCACTTATATCCATATACAAAACTGATGATATAACCGGGGAAGACAATTTTTTAGACCGGCGGTAATCATACAATTTAATAAAACGAACAAAGAGATAACATTATTAAAAACGAAACTAGATATAGTTTGCATAATATTTATAATTCTTAAGGAAAATGTAGACTGAACATTACGAAACGTGAAAGTAAAAAACACATTGGAACTTACTTTGAATTATCTATCATCTATGTTCTGGGACATGAATATATGAATAAAATATTAATTGACCCTTGAACTATACGCAAGTATTTTGGTATAATAGACAAGTGCAAGCTGCTTAATTACTAAAAATCGAACCCCCATTACATCATTTGTCAGGGGCGATCGGGCTCACAGGACGCGTTTGCGATAATTTAACATTTGTGACAACAGCTGTCAGCGTATCGCTAATAAAGGGTACACTGTTTACAAACGTGCAGAACAAATGGGGCTTACGATTACAAACTAAACCAAACAAGACATATTTAGCTATTGACTATATCCGACATAATGTTAACTAATTGAAAAAATCATGTTCGTTACCTTGAATTTATAACTATTAAATTAATATTATTTCACTCACTCTGTACGTAATCGATCCCAGTTTCAATAAAATACGATATAGAAAACGTTATAAAAGTTAGTGCAAATATGATCCGACGTAACGGAAAACGAAAGTAAATTTGCGGCGGGAAAATATCCCGCGGGCTCCCTTTTTTAATATTTCAGATAAGGGCAAAGGAATATTGACATACAGCCACGTGCTGTCTTATCTGCCAGTTTTGCCACCCCAAGCAGCTGTGGTCACAACAGAGGTTATTGTGAACGAACAGATGCCCGCCACTTCCTATTTAGGTAAATGTCGATATTAATGGTCGGAAGTCATGTCTTAAACAACTTGTTGGCTTTTAAAAAATTAAATATGTAATATTATATACAATTCGTTTGAACATGAACTCTTAAAAAATCAAGAACGTTTTTTTCGTAGCGTCATTATTAGTCACTTTAATAATTATAGACGCCCTTCAGAAATATGTATTTAATTTGTCTTTAACGGTAAAATACTATCAATACTTTTAATATACTGGAATGCGGTAGGTATTTATAATTTATGTATCGGCTTATTTATATATTTTTATTTCAGGTACAATAAAAGGTGAAAGTTTTATCTCATTAAAACAAAAGACATCAATTTAATATTCTTTATTTCTGTTTTGGCGTTAATTGTGTTATCTGTGTTATATTCTCAACAATGGAATGTCAATGACATAACAAAACTTTTTGCCATTCTCAATTACATACATTATATTTTTACAATATTAATAATCTGCTATAAAAGATTAAATGCTTTCGTTTTATTGACTTTCTAACTTTAGTTTCTACATCGTATCACAATAAATGTTAAGGCATTACAATGGACGGTCGCGGCAAAATGGCAAACGACAAAATGGCGACATGTGACGATGTTTGTCACTAAAATGCTATCTATAAATATCTGTAAGTTTCTGACGGTCCATTTTAAAAGTGCCCCATAAAATTATCCATTCTTAAAATACATACTAAAACAATACAAACTAAATGTTATCCTAATATTTACAATTACATTACAGTAACTAAACTATTTAAATATACAATTCTGACTTAAAAACTATTGACTCGATTTGTAATAAATATATTAAAGCCAAAGAAACATACATATTAGAACGGGTAATACTATGTTACCCGATGTCTGAGGAACAATTTCGTGAACAGGTAACGAGACCGGAGATTCAGCCATAGAAAGTTACAAGATAATTATTGTCGTATTTGTACTTCTAGGGCCACAAGGACGGTAAGCCGTGTAATTATGAAAGTTCCATTAGTTTCAAGGGTCATCTTTCTTTTTTCTCAATTTACCCTCAGTGTGTATAGTATGCGTTACTTTTTCCACTGCTTCTGCCAGTTGAGCGTTGGGCTCGGTTGCCGCTGATAAAGCAGCGATGTAAGCACAAGCTATCCGTAGTACAGATAGCTTGGACAGCTTCTGGTTGTGGCTGTAGGAGGGTACTGATCGTCTTAGTGTATCGAAAGCGGCGCTGATTGTATGAACTCTAGTACGCTCCCTCGCGTTTGCTTCTATCCGCCTCTCACGCGTCATATTCTTATAGTTTCTCTGTTCTCTGGGTTTTGTTTTATCAGGGAATTCCACTACACCGGGATGAGGAGGAACTCTGGGTGGTAATTGTCTTGATTCGATTGGTTTAATTATAGGTGTGGGCGGTTCTAATGGCCTTCGTCTCTGTCTTAATAAACTTGTTTCGCTCTTCTTGACAAGTGAGAGAGGTTCTCTTTGTGGTTCCTCAGTGAAGGACCAAGGTCTGAACGGGCTGGTGGGTGCTTCACTCTCCGGACTAGTGAGGTCTTCCCTCGAACTTAGTCTAATCCGTTTCTTTGGTGGCTGGAGGCGAGGTGTGTGTTGTCTCTTTCTAAGATCCGATTCAACAAGTCTGACTCCCGAGTCATCGGAATGCGCTGGACCCGAGCAGGAATCATCATCATCACCTCCCGACACGAATCCGGCGTCTCTCTCCAATATACGATCTGTGACAGAGATAGAACATAATTAATACTAACGCATATTACCCGATAAGACGTTAAAAACTAGATAGGTCATTAAATTCAAGCAGCTATTCCCATAGTGCCCGTTTTATCAGCGGAAGCTGGACAAAAAGATGAGCTCACAAACGAAGCCGCTCGTTATGTGTACGAGACTTGACTATTAATGTGTTATAATGGACACTCATATGGCGGTGGAACGACCACTATATATTACAAACCTAATTACTAATATATTTTGTTAGTTAAACACAAAATTTCCTTAAGATAACGTCACGAAAGTCCACAAACATTAGAAAATCTAACTTTTTTTTAGATTATACATAATAGAAATTCAAAATAATTGCCACAAAATCGCCAACTTCGTAGCGCCGAAAAACAATACTCTTCGACCATTATAAAAAAATACCAATGAAACATAAATCTATATAAATAAACGCATTAGGAAAACCCAATATAAATATCAAAAGAATTTTAATTATTATCATTATAATATATAGAATTACATAAAATCCTGTTCGTGAACATATATTATGAATAATTTTAATATTCAATATATTTATTTTTTTCTTGGCGTTAGCGCCGGCGCCTACGTGATCTAGGAGCGAGGCGAATCTTGAATGTAAAGTTGTTTGAAAAACTAACATATATATAGGTACATATTATATATGTATATATGTATGAGTTTGAGTCCTATGTATAAGGGTCAATGTAGCAATTTTGCCATTTTTTTTGCTTTAAACACTTCATACTATATTCAACAACATCCATTCAAAAATATATGTATTTGTTGGTGGAAAGACTTATTTTTAATTGCAGTAACAGTAACAGTTTTTATTTTATAAGGGCTTATATAAATTATTTAAAAATCTAGTAGGTTTACAAGAGAGTATATCAAGCTTAAATAACGTACATGTATGTATACTTATCATAGTTGCTATGCAAAGTTTCAAAAGCATTAGTTGTCATACAAGAAACATTGAAATCAAACTTAAAACGACTCAACTGAAAAATTGTCATCTTGCACAATGAGATATAAAATTTTCGCGAGTATTCATTTAAATGTATTTTAATTCATCTCGTCTGATGATCACGGTTACTGTAAAGTAGCCGAAACGTCGGGAGTATGTAGTTTTTGATCAAAAATAAAATCGAATAGTACATCCGAAATAAATTAGTGCCATTTTGTACTTAAACCCTTATACATAGAAGCCATTTTTAATGAGATCAAAGATTTTCGCGAGTACTCATTTAAATTAAACTAATATTTACGAATTTCGTATGCCCGTAATCATGATTTCTGTAAAGTAACCGAAACGTAGTATGTATTTTATAGTCCAAAATAAATGTAATAGTAAATAAGAAAATATTAGTTTCATTTAAATGAATACTCTCGAAAATCTTAGATCTCATTATGGTGCTTATTATAATTAACTATGATCAGTCATAAAAAATAATTGTAAGGATTATCCCTACTATACAATGTGTGTGTGAGTGTATACCTAACCTGTAGGGTGTTCACACGATGCGTAATTAATTACATAACTTTTGGTTAACTTTACTTAGAAGTTTATTAATATTTATGTTATATTAATTTTTATTTTGTCATATATGATCGTCAAATATCACGTCCTCAAGTATCGATAGTAATTCACCAGTCACCCTGTATATAATGTATAAGTTAGTTGCAGATATTATATTAAACTATTGCAGACCGCTGCACGATGGCACTGGTTTAGTAGAAACTGGTTTTGGTCCACATGGGTGATGTATTTCACTTATAGTAAGATCGTCCGCATTCCATTTGTTGCCAACTTATTTATATTATCATTGGATTTTTCCATTTTTTCTAACAAACACAAATTTATCAAAAAAAACGAATTTAATACGCGTTTTTTTATTATTGTAAAGTTTCGATTACTTGCAGCAACTTATCAAAGAAAAACAAGATGAGAATTTATCATATTTATTATTTTATAGCTTTTATAACTAACTTTTTCTTCCAATAAAATATCCTAACATTCAAATTCTAATCAGTATCGACATTACAATAAGACGCTTATAAAACATATAAAGCTTAACGCAATTTTATTATCGTTTAATAATATTTAATTGACAAATAAATAACATATAAATGGCGATCGATTACGAGGAAATGAAATACGGAAACAAAATCATTATTAAATTAATGAAATTTCCTTAAACACAAGTTTATACTACACGGAAACAACTTTAATATTACACTATATATGTTAAAAGTTAACAAAGAGGTTTACTCCAAACGGAACATATCTTTATCTTGTATGTTGGTATTACAACTTGTATGTTGGTATTGTAACTTGTATGTTGGTAGCTACCGGAATTAGTTTATAGCGCATAATCAAGCGAACTTGGCGCCGCGAAGGCGTTCCAATTAAACAAATCTGTTTGGATTCTTATATATAATTGAACACACGAAAATGAATCTTATTACAATGGAATAGAATCTATCTATCACGTTACTAACTGCAAATCTAAATCGCGTACCTTCTCACACTACAGGTGTATTTTTTCCGACCATAAAACAGTATGGCTCCGCCTACGTTCGGTTGAACTTTTAATTGCTTCTCAGCATTAGAAAGAATCTTTTTATTTTTCTGTTTATAAATCATAGTTCACACTAATAACTATCATTTTGACGTTGACGTAATTTGAAATCAGAAATGTCATCGTGATTAAACAGGACTATGTTTGTATTACACAGCCAAATAAAAACATCTGTAAAGAGGTTATATATATTTAAGTAGTAGCGTAATAAAATTTAAATCTGAGAAGATTAATGAGTGAATGAAATCCGGGTCCCGGGTAATATATCACGGCTTGTGGTCACAATAAAATAGTACTCGAAGGGACCCGGTCCCTCATTACGCCGATTCACGTTGACGTGTTAAAACAATGGCGATAATTTTAGGGTTTTTGACCTTATAATGACGATGATAAAGTTCATTTTCACTAAATACACGGAGCATAGGTTTCAAAGAATCCGCCATAGTCCGCTCAAAAGGTTGAAAGGTGTCGATCCTGTCACTAGATAAACTTTAAGCTCGGGTGATATAAATCTGGCGCCAAATTTCACAGACACAAAACACCGTCCTTAAAAAAAGAAGCCTATACAAACTTCTCTTTTTACACCTCTTTTTTAATTTTAAGGCACGGGTCAAGTATTTTGTTCCAAAAAGTCTAGCGGTTCACGAATTATGGGCAACCAAAATTGTCCTGTTATTTATAAGTGAAGTATTTATTTTTAAAACAACAAGAAATAATAGCATAAAAATCACCTAAGTATTTTTTTCTATACTTGTGAATCTATTTTTTTCAAACTCTTAAGTTTAAATTTAAATAAAAGTAATATTATTCACAGCCATATATTGTGAAATTCTTTTTCACCGTTACCAAGTTAATAGTTAGCGGGAACTTAAGATTCACAAACGATTGAGGGTAATGACTGGATCCTAAACAAATGAGAAAATGATGACGGAATAAAAATAAATTTTGAATATCCCATCCGCCATTCGCACGGTCACTTAATGTATTTGCGTGATTGTCATTTACTTTCACTCCGACATTAGAAAGATGGCGGCATATGTCATAATCTGGCTTCAACATAGTCTAATACAATATAAATCCAGATGCCATATAATTATTGTCAATAAAACATATAAATCTCGATCCCAATTCAACATCCCGTATCCCGGGTTCGAATCCCGTGCTATTAGTCATGTATGCGGCGCGCGCCGGTTAGGCGACTCGCCGGCGCCATGCGGTCGCGTCAATAAGTAACTAAACATTTTCTTATATGGTCTACATTTTATTATTCTTAGCGGCCATCGCGTTATATAAGGTTAAGGTAATTAACACGTGAAAATGTTTGTTAATTTTTTTTAACATTTATGTATTTTCAACACATTACAACAATAAATATTTAAATAATAATAATATTACGATAGTATCAATAATACCAATCTCGTAATATTCGATATTTCGTGTGGTATAAGTATTGAGCCATTGTTACAATATGTTAGTACAAGCGTTATGTCTGGTCAGAGTCAAAATAATCCATTGTTTCAGTTCAGACTCAACATTTTGTCTGTACCGCACCTGCTCGACACGTGCTCTCTGTCGCCTTGTGTAATTATCATATATTATTAGAATTCGTACTCAAATGTTTAATATACATACATAAAGTTGCCGACTAGTAACACATAATTCAAAAGTTGTTCAAAAAGTTACTTACTTTCGTCATTCATGCCTTAGGATTTAAGATTAAAATTGAAAACAAACGTATTAATTAAATATTAATATTTCCCGCGTTTTTTAATACAATTATGTCTCATACAAAACTGACCACAGATTAAAATAATAAAGACATTTGATTTAAACAATAAAAAATAAATTTAATAGTATTAATATAATCACACAATCTAGATTCTAAGAATGAAACAATTAACATTATAAAAAAAAACTATTTTATATATCAGCCATGTTTTTTTTTTAATCCTCATTTCCAATACCATGTATAATGTATAGAACCACCTGGTTGAAAGAGAAATATTGCATTTCAGTGACACATTGTCACAAGTCATTTGTTACTAGCACCTATTTGAATAAAACCTAGGATTTAGCATAGATTTTTATTGTAAATTAACTTTTATTATACACTAAATTGCCTAATGCCGCCAGCTGTGGTTGACGTTCTGCATTTGATTTGACAGTTGACAGATGACAGTTATCGTTGGTATATAAAACCTCTTTATACGCGCGAGGGCAAACGTATGTTAATATAATTTGATGATTATCGCGATAAAAAAAAAACAACATTAATTTGCAACTTGTTTTTCTAATAAAAATTCCGATATGACTCTATGAATAGAATTCGCGAATACATTCCATGTGGAATACTTAAACCATTTTAAGTTTTTTTTATATAAACTGTATGCTGACCTTGTAGTTATAATTAAATAAATCGTCTCCAAGTTAATTGTGCGTATGAGACATAGAATTTTAATATACACTTTAAATTCTGTATTACTGTTAGTTAATGTAACATTTTTTATACTAATAATGGTGCCTACAATTATTCTAGAAACCTCGATACATAAACTGTATATTAAAAGTATATAACTATTCAGTAATTAATCATTAAGAATATAATAAGACATATATAAATATAAATAAAATATTTTTTCCCGGATGTCATTTCACAACGCGCTGGCGCCATCACCATTCAAATTATACAATAATTAATTCAAACGCGTCGATCTCGGAATTCTTTTGAGACAGAAAACTAAACACAATTGTTCCGTTATTATAATTTACACCTGGAATGCAGATGTTTATTATTTATAATGAATTCAATAAACAAATAATTAAAACATCTTCCATTTATAATACGCACTTATATAATAAATGTCTTTTCTTCAAAGAACATTTAGCTCATATTAGATATTGGAAATTAATTATTAGCAAAAAAAAAGATTAAATTGAAATTTTATAAGTGACGTAACAAGGCCGTTAGATGTGCAAGCCGTGACACGAAATAACGACTGACGCTTTAACAGAATAAATTATATAAAATTGAAATCAATTCCAATTTTGAAATTAATTTTTTTTTTTTAAATAATTTGCCAGCATTTATTTATGCATTCAGCTTATGGCAATGCATTTATTGTAAAATTTATCTAACATTCGAAATAAGTTAATGGTGTATAAGGCAATGAAAAAACATAATTTTTGTTAGTAAATTCAAGTAGATCGATAAACATAAAAAAGCCATTTCCACCGGAAACAAGCAACGAACGTGAAACTAACAGATTTACAGCACAGCAACGCAAGTTTATTATTCTACCGCTATAACAATACAATTGAAGTTATTTTTAAAATAATCCACTCTAATAACTATCTTAAATACATCTCATATATGATACTAGCTAATTTAGACATTTAAACTAAAAAGTTTCCTAAAAAGGATTAAAACCTCCTTGATATTTTTTAATTCAATGAAACCCTATACATGAGATCGTTTCGATTAAAATCATGACATTAAAAAAATCACATCCGAAGCCGTACACGAGCCGTCAAAATCAGCATTCGGATTATTTAATATTATAGTAAATATAAGTTATGTTAACTCATAAGTCTTCGATACAAAAAAAACTTTTTGTATATGGCAACTTTTTCTGTATCCGCGTATCATGGGAAGTGTGGGCAATCCTTTGTTTTTTGTGATGGCCACCCACTGCTTCCTCTCTTTGTCTTTTTCGATGAATTTCGTCCCCTTGTCTTAATGTGTTATATGCAGATTTATAATACCATTTTCACCCTCGCATACTGGTGAATAACTGATGTATTCAAGTTTTTATAGTTATAAAAAAAAGTTTATATAAAATGTCAAAGATCAATGATATTCATCCAAGTAGACAGCCAACTTTTTATAGGTGAAAGTTTATTGGTGTAACAAAAACCTTTAAACTATAGTATTGTTAATACATTAGTTAACAAGCAAGTGGACATGTGTTAGAACAAATCGCTAACTACAGCCTACATCTGTCCGCCTCATGACAGAAACCATTGTTTTATACATCTGTTACATTTGAATTATCACACGAATGAATTCTATCCAAAAAAACAATATATACAAGATTAAATTTCATTATTACTAATTATCTATACATTTTCAACAAATTTAAAAGGACATTCCATATCTAACTGTCAACGTCTAAAAAGCGCGGCAATGAAAAAAAAAAAAGTAATTAGAACGACCAAAAAGTTTGCATTACTTTTGATATTCGGTCCGTTTTATTGGCAATTCTTTACGATTGGCAATATTTAGAAACATGTTCACGTGTCAACACGTGCTGGCGGACGATAGTGTATCAACAGGTTGTTTTGCAGTTAACGCATTTACATTTGATCCGCCTCGTATTACAATACCCGATGTTCTTGTTTCACACTAAAGTCTAAACCTCATATAAATCTATAGCATGTCATGCGAGCATATCTTAGCTTTTTATGTCGCGATGCCTTACGAATTACGCCATCGGGAAGTCCCAAAGTTTGTTCACTGACAAGATCCTGCTTCTTTAGATTATGTGCATACAACTAATTGGCGTACAAAAAAATATTCTACGCTTATTCACATATAATTCGATAAATAAAACATTAAATCTCGTTACACTCAAGTTAATTTCATAATTAAGTTATAAATTTTCAACAATATAAAAACATCTGATCGAAATAGTGATGTGCAGACGTAATAAAAAACCGTACTACAAAATGGCGATTCGGTTTTTTTCGTTATTAAAAAGGGAAGAAAACTAACAATCGGTCAACAATAAAACTGTACGGTTGTCGCCACATGTCGTGACGTCATTTTACAGATGTAGCAGTTCCAGATGTATTTGTACCAGATGTTGTAATGGATGTAATGCAAACGCCTGGCTGACATCTGTAACACTAAAGGGTAGCGCTGCCTACCGATTTAAACAAACGCAATTCTCTATGAAATATTACTATGAACATAAAATATATATGCAATTTGAACTTAAAGTATAATAGTAACAAAATTTCTTTTTAATTGCGTGCGTTCAGTGCTCATGTACTAGCAATATCTTTACATCATTACACATTGATTAAAAGATATCAGCGACAATTTCGTCTAAAATTTGGAATAAAACTTCAGAGATATATTACGAAATAATTTGATTTGATTTGTAATATGCTATCAAAACATGCGAAAAAACTATGGAAAAATAATTTTATTTGCAGTATCAATATTCTGTTGGCAAGAAGATCCGTATCCAAATCTAACGACCCCCGCTATGCGACATGTGAATAAACAAATTATTCGGACAATCTAAAACAAGGCTTATTCCATACAAATAGATGTTATAGTTCCATAAACATATTTGTTACATTAAAATACCGTATACACTTGTTCCAACGAACGAGGGTTTTCACCCTCAACATGTGCATAGTTTTTTTTACTCCCTCTTTAAGCGATAAATTTGAACGGTTATTTGTAAATTAGCTGCACTAATTATGAATAAAAAACATCGTTTATTTTAAGATATGTATCTTTTTTATTCAATATATCGTAAGTTTAAACTATGGTTGTACGCGTCGCTTTAGTCCGTTAAAAAAACAAACATTTTTTAAATGTCCGACCTCGTTCCTAATAAGGGCTTCAAATTTGTCATCCTTCCGCTAAACAATCATGTTCATTAGACGATTTAATAAACTTCCCGTATTTAAGAAATTCATTTAATATGTTATGAATATACGAAATCCGTCAAACATAGTTCTATAACCATTACTTAATGGCTACATAATTATTTGTCTGTACGTAAAAATTATGTTCTGATTTAGAATGGTCGATAATAAAATTGTTTTACTCTTAATATTAGATTAATTAAATGAATGCAATAAGTAAAATGTAAGATAATATATCTAAACAGGTATCAAATGTAATATAGTTAAATGAACTGGGAATACATTTAAGTGTGCCTAACGAAAAACAAAAATAACACATTGTTTACCTTTGCAGTCAGGAATGACATCTTCGGAAGTTATGAAAGTATTCGCTGACATTTCAAATACAAATCCAACAGAATCCAATATAAAACACTTATAAAATAATCACGTGAGCACAATATCATTTATAAAAACAAACACTTATTGTCATCGTATCGTGTTAAGAGTTGAAATTGATACAACCACTCCTCAAGACAGTTGGTTGTCGACTGAAACCGGCCGGGAACTGGCGGGGTAAAAAGAATGGCGCCACTACAGTCGCGCCCTTAGAGATGCACGCTTATATCAGAATTCATCGTATTCTACATACCTTTAAAAGCTCAAACATTCACATGGGAAATATTTATATTACATACTAAGTAATTACGATAGTTTTAAACCGAGTTCACACATTTAATATAACTTAAGAAATAATCTTATACACAAATAAAAATTTAATTTAATAATTACGTAAAAATATGAATTTCAAAATAAAATAATTAATATTAATTAAATAATTTATGTGTATATAAAACAAATAATTTGTATAATAAAAGAAAGTAATAAGTTATGTTATATATTATCTGTGTATAAAAAATGCGTTCAGTGCATTCGTTTATCGATAGCTGTCCACACTAGCGCCAGCCGGTCGCACGCTCAGGCTATTTCCATGTCACATATGCACTGACTCATGCGTTACAATGCTTTACGATCGTTTTGAATCTCCCGCATTCGTTTCAAATTAGAATTTAATATGTAATTAATATATATATTGATTATTTAATATTACGAAATGTATGGCACAATTATATAAGTTTATTAAACGTATGAAGCAATGATGCTTTAAATTCTTAAGTCTGCTTAATAACATACATACGATAATTTAGATAGAAGACGTCAGATCATTGTGATACAGCGTTTTTCATTATTTGAAGACGGTTTTTTTTTTATCTGAGTCTGTTATTAGTGATGTTCGATCGAAATTCAATTACAGTATGGTAAATCGTAAAATAATATTGGGTGTCGTTGTTCGATAGTGATGGGTTTTATTTGATTTTATAGTGATCGTTCGATGTGGCGCTGTCGGCATCCCCTTTCACATCTTAACGCGTCCAGATTTGGCAACGATGATACGAAATCCTGTTCCTTCGACTTTTTGCTCGGACATTTCCTGAGATTCGAAGAACTGTCGGCAAAAAAAATAACCACAGTTTCGCCTCCAGCCGCTTATACAGGTTTTGTCATGAATTTTTATAGGCTCAAACGGAGCTACATTAAATCAGATGTTGAGCGTATCAGAAACGGAATTGTCCGCTATTTACAATGTCATTTCGTATTATTTATACTGTTGTAATTAAAACGTCAGTCGCTTCAAATGTCAATGTCAGTTTTCCGATGTTTGTATAGTGATTTGGGTAGCCGGCTGGCGATATGTTAGTATTTAGGTGCGAAGGATAACACCCAAACAAATATATGCCTGAGATAGTAAATATATCCAGTACGGAGTCGTTGTGTAGGCGTGGAAGGGTCAGGTAAGGCTTTTGACACCTAGCCATGAACGCGTGAATATCATCGCGTTGTTATTAGAGTCTCACTTTTTTCGGTTATTTAATGAAATCTTAGAAATCTCGGCCTCTACGAACGCTAATATCTAATGCATACCGATGTTTTATGTTCTCTTAAATGACAATTCAGCAATATATAAAAGATTGATCAAACTTTTTCATGAAGACGGGCCAGATTCATTGACCCACAAATCAATAAGAGTCAGGGTTTAATTGACTCACCACTTACTATCAAGATACATACGTACAATTTATTGCTCAAGTATAAAGGATTACAACTATATATTAATCTACTGAGATTTAAACCATAAGAAAGCGTAGACATCAATTTTGACAAAGTACAAGTAATTTTAATTCTTTAAATTTTATAAAAAAAAGTATTTTAAGCTTGAAGTTAAAGAAAAATAGATGTTGCTACAAAGTTTTAATACATGTAATGACGAAGCCAAATACATTAATAACAAATAAATTTAATATCATACGAAAACTCATGGTTCCTAAAAAGTTGCTTTCTTTTTCTTGGCGTTCGGAATTCAAAATCAAGAAATGAATTCAACATGCAGCGATACAAATGATAAACGACTCTTTCCATTCATAAATACGATTGGAAATTCTTTGGAACTGCATTTTACAGCTGATTTTACGACCTTCATTGTATTTTAGACTTTATGTATGAGATATAAGGATGATTTTCGTTTGTATTACATGTGTAGTAGCTGGCAGGTTGGAAGGCGCCGCATTTGCCGCCGTGGCGCCGGCTGGCCGCCAACACCTCGTGTATTATGAACTAGCCCCGTGACCCGTCGATCACTACTTACACAAACTACTTGTAAGTTATTTCTAAACCGATAGTTTCATATTCAAGTTAACTAAGCAATTCCTGAACGTTATTATGTTACTATAGTTAATAGTTATAGTACCTAATCCTTTGTAAGCAATATGACTTATTATAAAACTGACACGTAATTCATAAACATAAAATGTCACTTATAAATCGTGTGTAAAACATATTTATAATCGTTTATAATATTAAAGAGGCATAAATAATTCGAAGCGATTACATAATTAACGTTACAAATCAACTGCATAACAAAAAAATATATATTAATGTTTGCACGCAACTCCGTCTGTGGCACTTGTCTTGCCAATGTGAAACGAAACAAAACAAGTGTTTAGACAGAGACGGACTTATTCCGTTCTCCTACTACCAAGTGAAACATCAATAATTTATGCGAACATCCCTAACAAGTATGCTATGTTGGATTATTAACTAAAAGGACTCTATTACAAAGAGATAAAGTATATAATACCTTGATCGTGGCTTAAATAAACGCTGTGGTTGAAACAGGTGTTCGAAACTCAGAGAATTTTCATTAATACAATGTAAAATGGAATTTATTATATTACAATAAAGTATATTTTACAATAGCAATGATATGAGATAGGTCTTTTATAAGTGTAAGTGGTTTCATTACTCCCAGATGTGCACTCAGAACGCCTCGGCGTATTTAAAGCGCTGCCTCTGTAATGAAACGCGATGTTGGCAATTAACAGCTTCTTACGCTTCCGATAAATTTTGCATAATATTATAATTATTTACAGATTAACAGTAACTATTGTATATGTTTGTTATAGTTACTTAATATATTTTGTAATTTTTTTAATACTCAACCTTAAAAATTGGATAACATTTAACAAGATTTAAACTGAGTGAAAGAAATTAAAACAAGAAAAGTATAGATATAGAATGAGGTGCTCATACTGGGTCTATTGTGTTCGATACAAAGCTACCTGTCAAGTCATTTTGACATTTGACAGGGGTCGCTGGCGCCGGCTTTGAGTACTCTAATTTCTTCAAATAAAAAGCGTCATACTAAAATTATTAAGAACGATTTAAATTCTATTTTTAAAAAGCATTCTTTTTAATTACAAACCAAAGAGGTTACATATTGTAATTTTAATTAAATTCCAAATTCAAATATAGAATTATCGATACATGGCCACTATAATAAAAAAAAAACATTATGACATTTGTAATAAATTGTACAGATTAAAAATATCTAACTAGTTAATATAATCTGTAACTACTGAATAGTGTTTTATTTACAAGCGTGTCTAAGTCACAGTAACCCACATCACCTACACCTGTGAATCCTTTCGTTTTTTGTACGCGCACCTGCACCTGCAAGGGCGCTTTGTGCAACACACCTAATAATAATCAGACAGGGCATAATATATTGCGTAATGCATCATGTAATTTGGTAACAATACAATTTTATATACAGGGTGACTGGTGAATTACTATCGATATTTGAGGACGTGATATTTGACGATCATGTATGACAAAATAAAAATTAATATAACATAAATATTAATAAACTTCTAAGTAAAGTTAACCAAAAGTTATGTAATTAATTACGCATCGTGTGAACACCCTACAGATTAGGTATACACACACACTCACACATACGCGTGAGGGGGCGTGGTGTTGTATCAGCACGCCGCCGCACGCGTCCACACTTGGAACATTTGGAACGTGTCAACACTTTATTTATTTATACGGAAATTTTGTCAAAAATTAAGTGCCTATTTTTTTTACATAATTCGAATGAGAATCATGTACCGAGTATTCTCCTTAAATATTGATAGTAATTCACCAGTCACCCTGTATAGAATTGAAATATCAATGTTAAATGTATGTTTTTATATTTATATACATAGTTGTTGACAGATGCACCATTTATATAATATATATTATATGACATAGACTTTATATTATTTTCTTAGACAGAATAGTTTTTTTATTAAATTGTATTTATTTTTATCAATATAACACAATAAATTTCATGTCATCTAATTTATTTTAATTATTCGTAGCGTCCGCTCTGATCTTTATAAGGTCTATATTTTTTCGGCTAATGTTTGAAGGTCGATCCTTGTATTTTTTCATTCCAAGGTGTGATACCAGATCCGATTATCTTTTTTTTCGTAACTCAAATTGCCCGTACATTTATGTATCGATAGTTAAATATAAAGATATACAAGTGCTACTATGTAGTATTGTTTACGTATAAAAATCACTTAAATAAGTAATTTTTATAGTTGTATTTACTTAATTTTTTTATGGTATGGCTTGATTCACACTGGAATTGTGTTGTTTCATTAAAGTTTTATGTAATCATTAATTATATAGAGTAAACACGAAGGAGTTTGTCTATTGTTAATGGCATTTTGAATAATCCTGCTTTTTAGCAATACCTAGAACAACAAAAAATACCTGCGTAATAAAAAAAAATTTGGGTTTAAACTAATAATTATATTCATATGTTGGCGGGAATTGCTCTTTTATGACACAGTGATTAAGTGTTACCAGACTCGAAAATATACACATAGTTCTTTATTGATATGCACATTCTTTGGGTTCTTACAAGAAGGTTTTAGTAAACATTTTGTAGTTATATTCCGAACTTACTATTCATTTTTGAAGAATATATTTATTTTTATTTTCTAATACTGAATTTAACACTACGTCCTACTATGCTCTACCGATGAGATGGAAATGAATTGACTGATGAAAATTCATATTATTTCATGTAAATTACGAAAATACTTACAAATAGAATATAAATAACATTTTACTTCATATTAATTATAAATCTGAGCTATTATTGACCTGTATTTAAAAAAGTCTTATCATAAAGTATTTATTATTATCAACATCTATAGAACAAGTTTTGCATCGGCAACGACAAGTCGTACATACTGAACGATAATAGTTTTTCATTCATAAATCTTCTCACATTATAGCATTAACGTAGATTGAATGAGAAACGATAAACGCTTTGTGTCTAGTGAGACTATATACCTATAGGTAAGCGAAATTGGACTATATGCATTTGTGAAACATTGTCGTATAACAACTTTGAGGATTTTTAGGAAAAGAAAGAAATATCGAAACTTCTAGAAGACGTTCATCAATCTACTAGAACAGCTGGTAATATAGATATTACCTTATATGAAATTATTACAATAGAATAGAAAGGATTAAGTGATAATTCAGTGATATATGTTAGAGATAAATATAGACAAAACATATTAATTCTCCTAAAGCCATACATAAACATTCGTATAAAAGTTTCTCATTTATAAATCGTAAAATGTCAAGATCTTAGAATGATTCAAAACTTACAAATAATAACCATTGAAATTGTCCAATATAGCTAATATAATGAAAATTCGTACTCTAGTATATTTAAGAAGTTTGTAACCAAAAAGGTTATATATCTATTAAAGAGGCTCAAATATATCACAGCATAAAAATATACCTAATATCAAATTGACACTAAAACTAAATACTAAATGTTTTTCATCATTAAACAACCAATAAATCCAGTAAACTGTCAGTTTGTCTACACGGTGGTCGCACTTGATGGTTGAATCTGTGAGGTCTGTCATTTTAAACCATACACAATAACAGCCCGCGCCATTTCACTAACTATCTCATCAATTTGGCGGCAAATTCCTTCCGAGAGCCACACATGTCATCAACGGCTCGCATTTCCGGTGACGACGAATATTTTTATGTGGATTTGGTTTAATTAAATTAGATATAAATGTAGTACCTAATTATGTATATTTAAAAATTACTTTTAATTATTTTAATTTCTGTCAATAATATAAAGTATAGTGACGTTCGACCAAGGCGGTTGTAATACTGGCATAATGTAATAAAAAAAATTATATCCAAAGAGGTTGACATATCTGTCATAAAATAAATAAAGAGCAAAATTGTCTTCTTTAATTTAATTTCTTAATATATTTGTCACGTCCTCATTATTCTCATCTCAATCTTCCTTGCAACATATCTTAAAACATTTGACACTCAATGAGCCGGATGCCGGTCTTAATTAGTTATGTATGTTACAACATTATAAGTTGTGCTCGTAAATTTTATTTAAGTTAATTTTCTATGAATTCACGGGTTATTCAAAGGTTTAAAGAAAATACAGATCCTATAGTTGATTTACATGATGTCAAACTTTTGTATGGAAGTATATTAATTATTAATTAAGTATAGTATATCAAAATAATAAATACAACTAAATTCAATATACAAACAAAATTACAATTCGTTTAGGTTAGTACACATATAACATGGTCGTATAATATAAATCCTACTAATATTATAATTGCCAAAGTTTGTAAGTGTGTGTATGTTTGTTACTTCTTCACGCTCAAACGGCTGAACCGATTTTGATAAAATTTTGTATACAGGAAGCTGATGTCCAGGAATAATACATGGGCTACTTTAAACTCCGAAATCTTCGGGTAACACCGCGGGGCGCAGCTAGTGAATAATAACCTTATAAGGCTGGTGTCAAGAAATTACGTATATTTAGTTAACTAAAGTAACTAACTAAGAACTAAATCTTCCCAGAACTTTTTGTGATATTAAGTGTTAATTTAATGATCATTTAAGGGTAATGACACCTGGCCATCAAGTAGCTTCATGTGGGCAGTAATCATAGGAAGTAGTGATGCGGGTTGACGGATGACCACAATTTAAAGATTACTTTTAGAAATCTTTGGATAACTTCAAGATTACTGTGAAATACGAAGATTAGGATGTGCCTACCATAGTTTTACATGGCGCCATCTGTACCGTACTAATTATAATATACATATGTATATCCCTACTAACATTATAAATGCGAAAGTAACTGTCCGTCTGTCTGTTACGCTTTCACGCCTAAACTACAGAACTGATTTTAATGAAATTTGGTACAGATACAGAGTTGA